TTCACAGTGCACACAAGACTCCTGCAGAATAAGTGCATTTTATACTTCACTTCAGTGGCATAGAAATTGGCCTATTTTCTTAATTACCAAAGAGTAAAGTGGATTAGTGAACAACAGGTTAGGACAACTGCTGTTTTTTCCAATGAGAGTTGAGATTAGCAGCTATTCTCTTTAATGAGAGTAAAATTGTTACCTTGAATGTGAAGAAAAAGCTACAAACCTGTTGGATTCTATCTGTATCTCTTGCAATAAGCAGCTCAGATGGTGACTAACCATCTAGATTGTAATTTTGGTTGCTATGATTTTGCCAAACTAAACCACTGTCAGGAAAACCTGAAAATTTTCCATGTGAACTCCTTGCTTCATACTGATTTTAGTTGGCCTTTTAAACTGAGATTATATTAGAAATGTTTGTCTGTATGGAAAAAAATAAATCTTAGTTTGATGAGAAGTGAAGGACAGTCATCCAGGATAGCTCTTGTAGTTTTTCTGAAAATTGGCCTAAATCCAGTTAGCATATGAATGTCTATAAACCGTAGCCATCTTGTTTCACACTTCCCTTCCTGCCTTCTAACTTTCGCAATGGCCAGAGCCAGGGGAAACAAGGGAAAACAGTTCATAGTTGTGGAATTAAAGACACTGCAACAATACCAAATTCTGAAGATTCCTCAGAAGAGTGCTTAGTTTAGCAGCATGTCTTGAGTTTAATCCAATAAGAAATTTCTCTCACATATATATATGGTGTCAATATGCCCTTCAGTGCAGTACATGGTATACCTTAAACTGCTACCAACTTTACTTACTCCTTTTGCATAGTCATTATGTTATGAAGTTTAATATGTCACATACAATTTCTCAGTGAAGCATTGCATTATTATTAGGTTCTCAGCATCATTTGAATGTGCCTTGAATGCAATTAATATTTTGAACAAAAAGAAATACTGAAAAGTAATTCTAAAATGTTCTCAGTAAACTTTAACTTTTCATTTTTACATACATCTTTATCTAAAAATTTTGTAAATTGAACTACTCTGTTTGAGAATTGGGTTTTATGTAGGGAACATACAAGAAATCTGCAACAGTTTTTATATGAATTATGCAAAATCTTTCAAAAAGACTAATTTTGTCTTCAGTTTAGCATTTTTTTTTCCTGAAAGGTGTTTCTTCTTTTTGCTAATGTATTGCATTATAAGTGAACCTGCTATTTAAGAGCATCCTTTAAAGAATTTTTATGGGCTGTTGTCTGATATATGCACAGAGTGCATTTCTCTGTTTGGTACATCTATGTGCTGAAGGTTGTAGAAACATTTCTGCGCTAGAGAAATATGTGCTGGGTAATTAAAATACTGGCATATAAGGCAAAAACTTAAGCATGACTGCACTGTTAGAGTATTATTTCATAAAGTTGCCCAGTGAGCTTTCTTTAAAGAAAAGTAAATATTTTGTGATCTCAGTGTGTAGGTAGGTGTATATCTGTAGGTGCATATTATAAACACACACACACACAATTTTTTATATCTGAATCAGAAGATCATCTAATAGCTCATGTATGCTGTGTTGTCTGGTGTACACATGATTTATAGAGCAAAAGCTCCTCTGGAGCCTTGTACTCATCTTTTCCCCTAGACAAGCAAGGTCCTGTTCATAGGCAAGAATCTTAAAACACTAAACTGTCAAACCTACCAAAAAAAAAAAAAAAAAAAAGAAGGCTCAATTTATGACTATAAAGGGATTCTAGCTAAAAGGATTTGGTCAAATAGCTGGCTGACTTCCCTCCCCTCTGTTTCCAGATAGTCAAAACTATTGTTCTATAATGAAGGCCATTTATGTACTAAAGGATGAGAAAGTTTAGAAAAGCTGAGTATGTAAATTCTGTAGGTGTGTCTGAACAGCTGAAACTGCAGCTATTAACCATGATCAGTGCTGTACTACAATTTGTATATAAATCAGTATAGATTTAGCTTTTTTTTTTTTTTCTTTTTTTTCTTTACAGTGGAGAGTAGGTTTTTTCACTCAGCTCATTTCTAAAGTATGTAAGCAAATTTTACTCTCAGGATAAGGTCAGCCCTTTAAAGAGTCAGTCTGATGGGTGAAAATTTTGAACAGTTGTGATCATGTAAAAACAGGAAACTAGAATGGAAGTTCTCTGCCTCTGACTTGGTTTAGTCGATACCACTCAGATAAGTCTATGCTCTGTATCCCTACCTCGGTTCTGTTTGCACAACATATTTTTCTAAACCATTGATTACAATTTATTTTCTATGATTTGTGATAATTATGATGTACATGATAGATAAATGCAGCAAAGGGCAAAGACACAAAAAATTCTGATTCAGTACTCATGGCTAAGCAAGTTATTACAAGTTATGTGGCCCAAGTCTTTAAAAAATATTTAAGCAGTTAGCCAACAGTCTGTTTCAATAGCTGTCAGGCACCTACATGTCTTTAAAGACTGTGATTGTAAGTTTAGATAGCAAAATTTCTTTTAAGCTAATTTCTTCTGGCTAAACAAATAATGAGGAGCTAAATTGCACCAAAGAGCATTCAAGCTAATGAAAACCATGCCTTTGGTTATTTTCTCTGGACTTCAATTCCATTTGAAGTTTGTTTTTATTCTCATTACATATTTCATGGTTAGAAAGCTTACCTAGCTTAGCTGTCTAATTTCTAAATAGTTTAAATGCTAAGCCTGTAAAATAAATTATGTATAGCTTGAATTGAAATGAACAAAGAATACTAGTTTTCCTTTGGGAAATAGCTTTCATTTAAAAAGATTTTTTTTTTTTTTTATGTAACTCTCAGCTGGGAATGCATTTGTTAGCAAAATAGCTATTTGGTGTTTTGAAAATTTAGTTCTGCTTAAGCTACGGGCTCGATAAGAAGTCAGCACACAGGCAATTTCCATATAAGAACTAAGCCACTGATGCACCTAGCTTGGCTGAGTTAGTAAAGAAAAGACTGTAAATTGAGTTCTTGTAAAATGTGTCTTGCAAAAAATGAATGTGTGCAAGATAGAAGTTGCGGGTATTTTCTTTTCCCCTCTACTCCCATGGGGTATAAGATGCTGATTAGTGTACGGGCACCACTGTAGGCACTGAAAACCTGGCTTTTATGTTGCAGGTTCCCAGAACTTTTTTTTGGCTGGTTTTTGGGGGGTTTTTTTGGTCTCATGCTATATTTATAGCAAAGCAGCTTTGTTCTGCTTTCCCATTATTGTAGATTCATTTTCTCATGGCTCTAGGCTACACCATAGAAGAATAGTGACGCTGCTGGTTTTGAGCCATAGATCTTTCACTTAGACATTGAAATCTCCTCCTCCCCCTGCTTGTAGACTTGGCAGCCTCAGTGCTGTGCAGTAGCCAGTCTTCCACAGGGTGTCTTTGCCAGGCTGCCTCCTGATGTACACCAGGTTCTCCTGTGCTATGAAGAATCATAGAATTGTTTAGGTTGGAAAAGACCTTTAAGATCATCCAGTCCAACCATTAACCTAACATTACCAAGTCCACCACTAAACCAATTAAGGGTAGAGTAGCAATTTCATGTTTCCTGGCTTGGTGGCTGGATTATTTATAATGAAAGTAAAAACTAGGAATCATTAAGATTGGAAAGGACCTCTAAGATCATCATTCCAATCATCATTCCAGTCATCAACCCAACACCACCATGCCCACTAAACCATGTCCCAAGGTCACCCTTCTTCCCTAACCTGGCTGGTAGGAAGACAACCTCACCGCAGGGCCCTCCCCAGACTTCTTCCTACCCCAGGAGCAGTGTGGCCAGTTTTCTGCATAAGGGAGTGAGTTATTTTTCAGACATCTTCAGCCTCCTCTGCATGCGCATATCTGAGGGTGCCTTTCCTAAGTACTCAGTTTCTTCTCTCTAAGTTTCGTTTGCGTGACACCAGGATCTGTTGCTACTTCTCTGTTTTGAAATAACATTTCTCAGGCTTCAGCTTTTTTTTTTTCTTGCCCTTACATGCCAATTTGACTCTTAGGACATTAATTAGGTCTTGGGTGCTTTATTGTGTTTTTCTGGAGTGGGGATTGAGGGAATTACTCTTCATTGAGGTGAACCTCCTTCACTTCAGGTGTTTGGGTAAGCTTTCTGCTCACCGTAGAGCTTCCTCTGCCCTCACAGAGACACTTGCCAATAAAGCTGCCATTGGTTTCAATGGGTGAATATTTTCCTGGTATGATCAGGAGTCTGTTTGGAAGAGGGAAATATCACCAAGACATTTGGACATGTGTCACAGAAGAAAACCATCAGATTGTGATGTTAGGACACTGATCATTTTATGCAAAACCACAACATGAAAAGCTCTGTATCCCATTACAAGGTAACAACAGTTCTGGGACCAACCCATACCTTAGGGTCTGCTTACAGCTGTAGTTTTTGTTTTCCCAGATAACGTAGCTATCTGCTTCAAAGGGACAGTGAAGAATGAGAAAGAGGAAGGACTGTGACTTTTTAAAACCTGCCTTCTAAAAACCGTGTGCATGCGTGTATACGCTGTGCCATACACATTACTCCAGAGTACTCAAAACTGTTCTCTAATCCTTCTAACTGTGTAACTCCAAAGAGGTATCCTAGGAACTTTTTGTACTTTTCATACTGGATATTTTCAGCTTGGGGTTAGATTCTGCTAACTTTGTGTATTTTAGTGGCATTACTTACAGACCAAGAAGTATTCAGCTCTCAGAAAGAGCACTGGTATTTGTCTTAAAAGTCTTGCCATGCATAAAAGGGAAAAACAGTGATAGTTCTATTGATTCACCTTCCGACCACGTAGCAAATTGAAAGAGAAATAACTAAGCGAAGAGAAATTACTAAGAAGCAGAAGGGAACGAGGAATGTATTCCTGGGCCTCAATCCAAAAGGTCATATGTGCGGCATCTTACGAACATCAAGTCTGAAAAGGAAAAAGCAGTGTAAATAAACCAGTGCTTTTGCATTGCTGGTTGGCAGGTTCCCTCACTAGCTCTTGCTGTCCTTCCTGTCAGGATCTGTCACTGTGAGGGAGATGACGAAAGTCCCCTCATCACACCATGTCGCTGCACAGGGACCCTGCGCTTTGTTCATCAGGCCTGCCTGCACCAGTGGATTAAGAGCTCAGACACGCGCTGTTGTGAACTCTGCAAGTACGACTTTATAATGGAGACCAAGCTCAAACCTCTTCGGAAGGTATGGTGCTTTTGAATTTAATTACACTCAAGCGTCAAATGGCCAGAACAGCTGCACAAAATACTGGCACAATTAAAGAAATATCTGCCTTTCCAAAATGGCTTTGTATTTGCTGTTGTTAAATCAGTCCCAGTGATTTTATTTCTACATTTAAGTTAGTTAATTTATGGCAGCAGAGGATTTTGACTAAAGACTCTCTTTCACCACACATACAATACAAATGCACAAATAATAGGCTTTTGTATTTAGAATTTTTGTCTTCAGCTTTTGTTATTGGCTGATCTGCTTATTTTTAAGCCACAAAGAAACCTTACTCATTATGTTTTGCCCTGAATAACACAGGCCAGTTCACCCAGTAATTTTTACGTTGAGCCCATCATTTCTGGTTGAGAATGATGCTTATACCAATGTGGAGACAGCAATTACAAAGTAACACAGTCAATCAATTTAGCTGCATCTGTTCTAACTGTTACACTTGTGGGCAAATTAATCACTCGTACGTTAAGATTAGTTAATGGAATCTAAACTACAGGGCGACCTTGCATCCTGAAAGTCAAACGTATGTTATCTGCGCTCATCTGTTTTCCAGGATAAATCAATTTAATGGTACACAGGTTGCCAGTATAGGGAAGGTAAATAGGTTGATAAACATATGTGCGTTTTGTTTTCTTTGGAGTGAATAATTTCTCATCTGATTTTTCTCTAAAAATGCTCTCATCCTTTTTGGGTTTTGTTGCATCTTTGAAGTTTGAGTCAATCTAGACCAGGTCAAATTTTGATTTAAAATAAATTTCAGTGTGAGAGCCCTTGAAAAACATGTAGAAACTATTAGCTTATAACTAGTGTATGTATATGTAGTAGTGTTTTGATGGCAAAAGACATTTTGGTTTTGTCAGCTTTGCACAGTAGCAGTTCAGAGAAAGGAATGCAAATTAAATTCCTTCTCATTTCCCATCCAGAGAAATTATCTAGTAAGTCCCTGATGATAAAGCACTTTTGAAGAGAGAATTGGGATTGATTTGACAAGCAAAGCTTGTGATAGGAAAGGACACAGTTCTCAAGTGCCAGGTAGATCTTGCCAGGTACACTGGAAATTGAAACAGATGTAAATAAAAACCTCATGGCTAAAAACTTAATTATATTGACTTAGTTTTTAGTAATTGCAGATGAATTTTAGCTAATGTGACAGAAAGGAGGTAATTGTATAAAATTCCCTGCCTGTAGCATACCTTCTGGTTTTTTTTCCTGTATATGTGTTTCTATTTTCAACAGAAATTGCTTTAACCTTTCATCTAACAAATACACTTGCAACAGCCACTTTTCCTAAGACAATATACAGATATCAGTATTTTTAACAAAAGCCTCTTCCTGATTGTGTTAGATAATAGACAGTCTTTAAAAAACGGGAAATAGAATTTATAGCATCCGAGGAGAAAAGGAGTGAAAAATGTGCTTAACTGTTGATATCAGAAGTAAGCACTTTTAACTGTGTCTCATCATTGCCACCCCCTTGCCCCCCTTTTTTTGTTAATTGAAAGAAATTAATGGAATACTGACAGATTTAGAGTGGTAATGTAATTCCTGCAAGTCTGTTGCTTCTTAATTGAATGATTACCACCTTATTCATCTTCTCGTTGGTTCTCAGGTGACGTTTTGATTTCCAACATAGCAAAGATGAGCCTCTTCCTTCAGACAGGGTATTTTTGTTTCTGCTCAAAGCAGTATCCAAATGTAGTTTATCTGCCTGACAGTAAATGCTGGCAGCATTATCCCCTTCAAATGCATTGCTAACAAATATTTGTCTGTATAGTATGGACCCAACATCTAATTACAGATCCTTTCTTATAATTTACACCCATTTCAGAAACCAATACTTGGAAACATTTTTCCAAGTTTCCAAAGTTCTTGAGTTAAAACCAGTTATCCTTTTTGCATTTACAACATTCAGCTGTGACACCCTTCGTATGTTACATTAAGCTAAATACGTCATGCCTAATAAGTGTATGCACTGCCATCGCCATTGTTCACAAATTTATGAAACACTAAATGGTTTATGAGAAGTTGTTTTGTAAACAAAGCATTCTGAGAGCTGTAGCAAAGACAAGGTAAAGGAGGAAAGGGTGATCATCAAGAGACCTGCCAGGTAAGTGCAGCTGACTGGTAACTTTTCACCCAAACATCTTTTATAAAAATCACTGAAAGTGCAGTTTCGTCAAAACCTGTATATTTTGCAAAAGTGGAAAGTTCCAATGAAACACTATCAAATTTCTTGCAAGCTTTTACAGAGCCCAGAATCTCAGCTGTGGGGCATTCCCTAGGAGTCCAGGTTTTCAGAAGACGGCGTGAAGACTGGTTACCAGAGATCAAAGTGCTGTGGGACAGGCAGCTTAGAAAGCTGAAGCTCTCCACAGTCCTGTCTCCTTGTTGCAGGATCTGAAAATCCCTACAGAGACTCTAGGACTTGCAGACCTTCTTGAGAGCTTTAGGTTTTGCTAAGGCTTGAGAGCCTTCAGTCTCCAGCACTAAGTCCAGCCTGGCAGCAGTGAATTAAAATTTCCCAAAGGATGGAAAATGAGGAATTCTCTAGTCATAATGGCAGGGACATTATGAGCAGTGGCAGTTATATCTGAAAATGATGCAATTCTTGTCAGCTTTGCCGTATGCCAAGTGGAAACAGCAAAATTGACAAAAAATTGATTTATTTTGCTAATAAACTTTGAGGAATTCTGAAGACAGATTTCACTTCAGTGTTTCCTAAAGAAAAGACTACAGATTTAGCTCAAACAGAAGAGTACCTATTGATTTCCATAAGAAACTCATTTTATTAAAAAAAAAAAAAAAAAAAGGAAATTTCCCCTAAAGTGAAAGTTTCTGGCCAGCTCCAGAAGATGCCATTTCCATGGCTATTAGACCTGGATTTTAAGTGGTATTCTACAAGTGAAAGGGTCACACCTCTCAACCAGTTTTGATTTTTAATCTCTACCTTAGCCATGATGCGAGATCCTGTAATTTGTTTCTTGACCGCGCATTGCTTCATTATGATGAATTTTATCATACTACCTTTGTAACATTCCAACCACTGGTCTCCTGAAGGGAAAAATTACAGACCACGGAACTTAATTACAGGTATCTATACTTGTGGTTTTGCAGTATCACAAAAGCAGAATTTAAATATAAAACAAACAATTTGACTCAACTGGTGAATTACTATCTTTATTCACGCCTCAGCCTTTCATGCACCCTTAAAGTTTCCTAACAGTTTTTTATCAAAGTCTAGGGGTTTATAGCAAAGTCATGGTTGAATATCGTGTCAGACAGCTGTTAGCATGCATAAGTGACAATGTGCAGCATACTAAGTTAACATAAATCAAGATACCTCTATTAAATCAATAAGCTTGTGCCAAAATGCAACAGTTATTTAAATACAGAATCCCTGGAAGCACCAGACATCAAATAAAACTTAGTTTAATCATTTTAGTGAGTCTTTGCATTGAAGTAATCCTTTTAAGCATTCATCAGCAGGCATTGCAAGTGTTTCATATATTTGAGCAGGTCTAATTACTTGGCTAAATATAAATTTAGAGATTAAATATTAAGTATTGCTTAGTGTGTTTTATTTCTTGTGGTCTCTGTTATGTCTATCTATGGTTACAAATAATATAATTGCATTTGTAGCTTTACCTTTCAGCATTTGCAATCCATAATGCAGAATTTCTCGTTTATGAAGTGACTTTATTTGTCATGGAAGGAATTAGAAAGTGGAAAGAAGCTTGTGTGAGTTCCTTATTGAGCTCTCTCAGGTAATAGCTTCATCCTGAGAAAATCACTTCTTCTTTAAAAAGGATGTAATCCTGGTAAAGTAGCACCTGCATTTCATATCTCGAATTCGGTGTTTGAAGCATAGTAGAAATAGGAACTGAATGAAAATACTGTGAGTATGAAATGGATTAAAGTGTCAAATTAAAAGGTGCTTAAAATGCAGAAACGTCTTCAAATGGAGATTTCTTCACAGTGTCTCGCAATACTTCAAAATACTTTTCATATTTAAATTTTTCTGTCCATTTAAGATGTCTGGTATCTGATGAGGTGTTTTACTTTGATGCGTTATCCCAATGGATTATTCTGTGATGTCGGATATGTCTATTTTCTCTCTTGATTTTGTTTTATCTTTGAAATGATTTACAAGTAATGTCTTATTTATGTGAGGAATAAACAATATTGCACATTGTTACCATGTAGTTACTCTTGGTCATTAAGGAAGAGTGAGTTGTTTTTTTGTTTAGGAAAACATTATGTACCAGCTGAGGTTGATTTTCTTTCTGATCTAAAGGGTATCTGAATTTCTCCCTTTTAAAAATAGAGGATTGGGAGTGTTCTTTTAGAACAGAGTGATAAATTTCTGTTAAATTTAACAGAAGCAAAGCCGGTCTTAATATACTGAAAGAAACCTGATCTTTTTTATTTTGAATGTGTACATACATCTTCTAAGTGTTCACTCCTCTTGTATCCTGTATTTGTTTATATACTGATAAATAGGACTTCTAAATCTGATATGAAGTGCATCTGTCTGGGTTTTAAACCCTTGAACTCTGTGGAACTTCTCATGTACCCAGCTGGCTGTTATTAGAGAATAAAAGAATGCTGTCTCTCCGCTTGGTATAATTTATTTTATAAATAACCAGATTGTAATAAGAGTGATAAAATATCCATGCCAGCTTTAATTCCCATAAAGGATTCAAAGGTTTAAGTCCCAGCTGGAGATACGTGGTTCATGACTGCCCAGAGCAGGGTATTTAGGTCCTGGAGAGAAGTTATGGAACGAGCTAACTCAAATTTCCATATGTAGCAAAATCCAGTTCAAGTATATCAGTGCCCCTTTGTGGTCAGATTGGTGATTAACTGGTTAAATCGGTTTGGGAAAGATTCCAACTGGTATGATGATGATTTAAGTATAGGATCAATAGCAAATATTTAGTTTTACTATAGTAGATTAAAGATAC